GTGTTGGTACGCTCGTGCGGTACGGCCAGGTACCTAATCTGAATCTTCCATGCGGCAACCTAAGATACGCCATTCAGGTCATCGGCGCGTTTTCTTTCACCAGCGATATTACTGTTACTGGAATTGGCCTGTTTGATAAGGGAGATGGTGAGAATCTTAGGTTCCCCATCTAAAGATACGGATTAGGTCTGTAGGCATCCCCAGCGACTCTGATGATTTTCTCGCTACTACGCAACTTTCAATTCTCACCTGTCCAGCGGAGGGTATCAAATTGAACAGCGACCAAGGCGGAGGTAGTATCTTAGGTTCAAGCGTGACTCACACAAAAAAGGCGGAGCGAAGCTACTATTTTTATAATCAGATCCGTCAGCCTCTATGGTGCATCACGTGGTTAACTTGAAGGGCGAGGCTGCGTTTTCGGACCGAGTGAGTGGGGTTGTCGATTTACTGAAAATTTATAGGATTTTTTTGCAAATTTTTGAAAATATGCACATGGTCAACTACATGTATTGGTGATAATATGGAAAAAATTTTGAGGAAATTCTTATAGGTTTTTCTACACTTCTACCCGAATTATTGAGCTCGGTTGAGGAAAGTGAACATATATTCGTTCTCCAACACTTTCCCACTGCTGCGTTGTAGGTGCCAACGAGCTCGCTAGATGAATGCTCTCGATGGGTTTTACCGTCAGAGACGGGTTTAGCGTGAGTCATTTTATGGGGAATGATGGGAAATTTTTTTTCGGGAAAATGCGTTTTTTGGGAGTAATTTTTTAGTGTTAGTAAATTAGTTTTACTTTACTAGTTGGAGTAAAATTTTTAGGATTAAAAAATTATAGAATTTTCAAAAAAAATGAAAACTTTTCCACAACTTGGTATTGATAAAAATTATTAAATTGCGCTTTCCATATTTTTTTCTTAGATTCTCCCCATCCTCGTCTTCCCAAAAAGACGATTCCCGTCGAACTATAGCGTTCGTTACCACGCCGATGGAGATTATTATGATTTCGAGACGGTCGCTTATGGACCACGCGATGTGGCTTATCGCTCGGAGAAAGTAACGGTCTCGATCGGTTCGAAAATATGCATATGGTCAACTACGTGTGTTGGTGATAATGTGAAAAATTTTGTGGGTTTTTGGAAACTTGTGACCGAAAAACTCAGCTGAGGAATTTCGAAGATGAGCATACGATTTCTGTAATTTCGTGGCGCAGTGAAGCTGATGTTGATATCGCATTGTGGTTTTTTCGCTCGAATGAAGTAGCTGGTTTCGCAAATATGCATACGGTCAACTACATGTGTTGGTGACAATATGAAAATTATGAGGAAATTTTGGGAAATCATTGGAGTTTCACCTTTTTAATGTCAAATATTGTAATACTCCATGTAAATTATAAGAGGTATATGTTTCCGCGAGAAAATGTGTTAAATCTGTTTTTCATATCACTAGGGTGAAATTCCATTGTTGGTTTATCAAGCGAATTCATGTGTAAAATTGAGCAGTAATTTCTTAGCGAAGCGAAGCTGATATTCAGATTCGAGAGAGCTGTGCAAGTTGCTGCTACTATGGACACTTCTGAGGCTGTGGGCACTGTGTTGAGTGAGTCGGGAGTGCTGATGGAATTGGAAATCTTGCAATCTTGCATTTCCTCAACGCATAGAATTGAGGTTGAGAAAATAACTCTGATGCTCATAAAAACCATAAAAAATTAACTCGGATCATTGGGGTTTCACCCTAGTGATGTGAAAAGCAGTAGTGAAAAACGTATTTCACGACTACTGCATATCACCGGTTTCACCACTTCGCGTAAAACGGGTGAAACTCCATTGTAATAAGAATGATGTCCTTGCTGTGATGACATTTAAGGAATATATATTCGCTTCCCTCAGTTGAGCTTTGGAATTTTCTCACTAATTATAGGAGTTTATATACGAATTTGGTAGAAGTGTACAGAAACCAATGTGACTTTCCTTAGAGTTTTCATAATATCACCGAATTGTTTTATTCGATCTCAGGCTCAGCGTTGCAACCACTACTTAGTGATAAGGAGTACCATAGGGCGGCGACTTTGACGTCTCTCATTGATAGTGAAAAACACGGGTAGTATTATAAAGATGTCTCCACCGGGGATCGAACCTCTGTAGGGCTATTTGGAAGTCTATTGCTGCTGAGTTCGAGTCATATGACGCCTTGCAGTTCCTCGTAGGGTATTTGCCTACTGATGTTGATACGGCGAAAAGGAGCGGCCTTGTTGATGCTGAGATATACGATAAGACAATTACGAAGTACTAATGGTGTGGTATGCGATCATTTTATGAAAATTTTTATATATTTTTTTGATATGAGGAGTTCATTTTGCTCCCGATTGGTGTTCAAACTCTTCCTGGTTGTGGAGGAATGACTCGTACGCACGCACACTGGAAATTGTAAAATGGAGCTTCGCTCGCCCCGCAACGAGATTGATAAAGCGATTAAGAAATAGTGATGGTGTGGTATGAATATCGGGATAATAATTTAGTGGAGTTTCACCCGTTTTAAACGCGATAGTGACCGGTCGGATGTTTTTCTCCGCAAAGTGGAATATGTTTTTCAGTGCAACTCCAATGATATGATTGATTCGAATCAGCGTTAAATAAAATACTATTACTGTCGTTTTGTGACTGTCACCAGTTGAGCTCCCAAGCCATACACAATTTCGAAGAGCGTAGATTATGAATGTAAATATTATCATTAGTAGCATCATCATTAATATTATCATTTTCCATCATATACTGTGGAAAAAGCGGAAAATGCTCTTGCTGGGAATCGAACCCACAACCCTGAGCTCCGTATTTGATTGAATGAATGTCTCAGTAGAAAAATAATTTTTTTGCCCTGTAAGAAAGTTTTTGTATGAATGCGCCGTTTTTTTGTCAAATTTTTCCTCCAATATTTTTTCAGTGTAATTATTCACCAACCGACTCGACTACTTCCTCTACTACAACGCTGGCCGCGGGAATTGTATTCGGAGACTCGCATGATTAAACTCATCGGGGAGGTCATACCCGAGGTGAGTGATTACGGTGATAACCTTTATCTTATTACATATAAATGCTTTTATTAATACTATAATATAATGTATTTATATAGTCCGTGTATTAGTGAATAATAAATATTAAATGGAGTTCCACCCGTTTTACGTGAAGTGGCGTAAAACATGGTGAAAAACGCGATATTCGCGGTATGCCGTGGTCGTGAAATATGTTTTCCACTAGTGTTTTTCATATCACGGATGAAACTCCAATATAATATAATTGTTATATTAAAATATATGAGAAAAAATATTGATGAGTAAAATGTATTTCTGATTGGGAATTTCTTATGGTCGAAAAATGAGGATTTTTTCTTATTTTTTTGCGGAAAAATATATATATATTTTCAGCACTGGAGTGTGAATTGGTCGTTAAAGAACAACCCGCCTCTTGCTGCTGCTGCTGCTGCTCCTGAGGAGACTAGACATGCTGATGGAGACGATGACGACGATGTGTTGTCGATCGACCCTTCTGAGGAACGGGGTAGGTCAGATTAATGTGTGTGTGATTCACACTCCCAAATCGATTATCGGGGCGTGCGCGAAGATTAATGTGATGTAATTAGCACCAGTATGGGAAAATAGGTAAATTTCTGCTCAGTGCTGGCGTAGGGATATGTATTTGCTTTCCTCAGCTGCTGAGCTCAGCAGAGCTTCCTCATTAATTATAGATGTTCACATACGAATTTGGGTACAATGAAACTTATTTAAAAACCATATTAGATACCATTATAAAACCAAAGTTCATATTTTTATCAACACATGTGCATATTTTCCCGCCACTCCTGTGAAGACCTCTGCGCCTACTTGCACTTTGGTGCTGTTGTTGTTAATGATCTTGTTCAGAGCACTACGTGCCGCTACTGCTCGCATTGAGATATGCTTATACGAGGGCTGGAGATTTGGGGAATTTATGCCAGTAGAAATGCGGCTTGGGGATGCGGCGGAAATATTTCAGTGGGGAAATTTGTGTATTGGTATTATTTTTTAATTTTTTTTCTAGTATATTTCGGACAGTAGTAAACTGCAGTCGTCGGTGGCTGTGAGGCAGTGGGT